TGTAGAGGAGCATAAAGGTTAGCATGTGGCTGACTAAATCTATCACAGTAGAGAACACTCTAGTATGATAAGCTAGATGGTAATTAGGACTCGTTTATCACACAAGTCATCGTCTGACAGATTTTAAACACTGCTGTGCAGAATCTGGCAACATTATATGTTATAGCAGGATTAATATATGAAAGCAGCAGGAAAGTGTAGAATTGTCTTGTGCACCCTGGGTATTTATGTAATAATGGTGAGATATGCCTAGTATGAATCTCTGTAGTATATGCACTGGAGAAGCACATGTTCTATTGTTTCCGTGTGTCTAGAGTCACCTTCCTATATTGGCCTTCAAGGACAGCTAAGGGGAAGGCATGACATCCTACCAGCGTAAAGCCCTCGACAGTATACTTCAGTATGCAAATTATTTGTATGTGTACATGTATAGAAGCCCACCAATGTATATTAAACAGTGATAAATCTACTCTATGAAAAGAAACAGTACTTGTAGAAAATACCTCATACATCTGATGCAAGCAATCCAGTCTTGTTTCATAACTTACAATTTAATTACTTTCTAATAATAAAAGCACTAGACCAAGTCACCAGAATAATATTAGCATCTCAGTAGGATTACAAAGTAGGAACACCAAGAGAGAAATAATCAAGCCTGATACAATGAATTTCACCTTTGAATCTTGAAAAACCAAATAATATTTTCTTATTTCTGCAGTGTTTCATTATTTGTAAATATTTAATTTTATGCTATTGTTCTTAGACTTCCCCAAAATGATTTATATTTAGTGTAGGCATATTTAGAAGTAGATCACTTTAAATAGATATTAAGTATTTGAATAAATTTATTTATGCTGTCCTATAATAGATACACATACATCTCCAAAAATTGGGTGCTACATCCTGGCATAGAATGACATATCTCACTTCAATTTTTTACATATCTCACTTCAATCTTCAAAAACAACAATAACAGTTTTATGTAAAATATAATGTGCTTTGAGTGCTGCACATTGATTTGGGGAGTACTGAATATTTATAAACACATTACAAAAACAAATTTACCACTTTAGCCTTCAGCTATGTTTAAAAGCACTCAAATATTTATGCTACCCACAGCCTAATATATAAAAGTTCATTCCTTCTAATTTATTCTCCAGTGAAATAATCTAATAAGCAGCTTTTTTAGCTAATGTGTAGCTTTGTGCTTTCATATTTCTATACGTAAATAGTTGTAAATGCCATTCAACATATTAACTTCAATAAAATGTAAGAAATGGTGCAATACTAGCTGAAAATGGAACTTATTGACAATCAGTTCAACTCCTTCTATCTTACTTAAAGCATCAACACAAAGTATCTTTGATTCCATGTAGCTTCTTCTGCTTGAGAAGTAAAATGAACAGCTACATCAAGCTTCTCCAACTTTGTTCGGAATTGGTTTGTACTTTAAGTCTAGGTTTACAATATTTTAGGGGAGGGAAATCAATTATATTATCCAACATATAATATCTATAATATATTTTTGTTTTGCTCTAAATAGTGTTTCCTTAAGAAACATCCAGTATGGTCCTATTGAAAGTGAATGTGACCATCCATAGGAAAAAAAGAGTTGATCTAAGCATGACTGATCCAGCTTATAATCTTAATAACAAGAAACAGAATCACAGAATAGTAAACAATGTTGGAGAAATCACATTAGACAAAGCTGAAGTAAAATATGTATTTGCTCCTATGGCAATAAATAGCAATCATTTTTATATATTTAAAAGTTATTTAATAATATAATAATAATATTTGATTATTATAATATCAAACATTTTTCTTTTACCTTACAGAAAATACCCTAAAGAAGCAATGGACTAGTTTACATGACACCAATTTCTAGATCAGTCTATAGAAACATACTGAGAAATTTTTACAGACTTTCAGACTTTAAATAATCTATAATAAAAGTGTAGCAATTGTGACAGCAAATTAAAGAGAAAATGACAAAAATAACTAACCTTATGGCTAGATGGACATTATCTATAATTCCATATAACTGCAAGGTTGAACCACCAATTTATTCATTGTTTCATTTATGAGCTCAAGGTGGTACACATAGCACTCCATTCTCCATTTTTTTCCTCTAAGAAACAACCTTGGGAAGTAGGCTGGGCTGAGAGTAAGTGCTTGACACAGAATCATCCAGTGACTGTCCTTGCAAGAGCATACTTGAACCTGGTCTCTCTAGTTCTAGCCCAACACCTGGACTGCTCTACAATACTAGGCTTGAAGACACGGATGGATCACTTTGCTTTAAGATTAACTGATTCTCGTTATTTTCAAAACTGTTTCTACCACTTGGAATCTGCTCACTCCATAAGCCCTAGCCAGGAGGGATGTGTTGCATTTTTCTACATACACGCCAGGATTTGGGTGGAGAGTTACTGGATGGCCTTCTTGGCTGTAGCACTCCTCACTCTAGAGCCCATACTGCTCTAGGCTCCTGTAGCCTAGAATTGATTGATTTCACTTACACTTCCCACTTTTGCCAAGTGAACACCCCCCCTCCCCCTAGCCTGCCTTCCTGAAGTCAGAATGCCCCTAAATCTTGTTAATAGGAAGGCAATAAAAATTGTGATTTTTCCACTGGACCTTATGGGCCTAAATAATATTGTTTTAACTGCTGTATTTTGCAACTGTAAATTGCACATAATCTAAATAATAGATGGCACTCTGGTATAAATATACAAATACCAATATAATAAACTTCTAGGGGCATAAAAATTTCACAGAATGTCCCAATTTTGAGTACAAAACAGGCCACCCCGCTCTTTGGAAATGTTTCAGGGTTTAAATATCTTTATTTCAAGCTTAAAACATCTCCAGAATGCTTGAACATCCCATTTCATGCTTGAAACTGGATGTTTCACAAAAATTCATACACAAAACATTTAGAAATAGAACGTTTCTGTTTCTATTTTGTTTTATGTTACTTTCTTTGTATCTTTATTTTTGAAACACCTCCCTCCCTTGATTACCTTGCCTTATAAAGAAAAATATTTTTTTCTGAACTCTATAGTTACTACAGATACTCATGCAAACACTGCATTATAATCAGATTAATAATCTGCCGTTCTCCAAATCTGCATTTTAGTTCTACAATATATCTTTCCTCTTAAGTAGAATACACAATTCTGCATTATTATTCCCATTTTTAGGTTCCAATAAATCAGTCAAAAAGTTTGAAAAATAATTCACACTTAATTTATTCTATTAGGAACAAAGTGTGATCAACTAAATTTGAATTCAATCCATAAAATCACAATTATTCCTGAGATGGAGAGATGCTTAAGAAGAAAGGAAAAAGCAGTTTGTTATTAAAGAAAAGATCTAGTCTATAAGTATCGCAAAGAACTGCAGAATATTTTAATAGTAATGATTAATTATTCATTATACCTCTAGTATCACTGCTTACTCTTTGATACAAATATTAAACTTACTTAATTTAAATTTTTAAATAAAGATACAATTCAAGTTGTCATTAAAATACCAATGGAACAAAAGTAAATTATTCTGTTAGGGTATATAATTACTGATCCTCCTCAGATTTTGAAAAGATAATATATGCAAAAATTTTGGAAGAAACAGGCTAAGCATTATAGCAATATTAAAAGGGCATTTTGTAAGTACTTTAGTAATTCAGCTAAAAAAACTTGAAGTATTTAAAATAACTTCATTTCTGGAAGACCTATTTCTTCACAATAATAATTTTAGACTGGTTTAGTAACAATCTCAACGTAACAAATACTGTTTCTACAATGCAAGCAACAGTTTCAGAACAAAACGTGATATTCATAATTATGTAACTTGTAGCATAAAGTGAATATTATGTAGTAATTTGAAACAGGCTTTCCAGCACTTGAGCTGGTTAGATGTATATACAGATGTATATATCACCATGTATTTGAAATGAAATATGTTTTATATAAGAACTGCAATTTAATAGAAAGCTTAATGTATTTATTATAAGAAATACCATTGCACTCTAAATAAATAGCAGTTAGTGCAATACTTCTGATTCAGTTGTGAAAAAGAGCTCTGGTATATAGGGTCACACAGGCAACATCTGTGTATCTTAAAATATAGACATCTTTTCCCAGGACTGCACAGCAGCTGTGCAATCTTCTAAAAAGATTGTAAATTGTAAATATTGTAAATTGCAATATTTTGCACGCAAGGTACTCCAAAAGACCCAGCACTACACAATAAAAATAATGATTTCATACTTTCAATTTATAATCTATACAATTTCACCTCCCTAATTTATTTGCTAATGGATTTTCTTTAATATTCTTTTTAGACCTGGCATGGCATAATGTTTCCCCAACAAGTCTTAACTATTTAATAATAGATTTTCCAATCTATAAAAGGCAGTTTGCATGCTCACACAACGTCATTTAAGCCAGAGTAGAATAAGCAAGAAATGCTTTAATGCTGTTTGACCAACAGCACTTAATCTCTGCTGACTTCTTATCAGAACAAATTTCTATTAAGGAAGGATTTCACACATATTATGCTGACTTCCCATTAATCCTTGGAATTAACTATTATAAGACAAAGTGCAAAAACATTCAGGTACTCCTTGATCTTACTGAAGTCTTGTCACTAATGTAAAGGAGCCCTAGATATATAGTACGACCCACCCTTTTTCACAAGCTATTCTAGAGAGAATATGCTATGTAAACATACTCAAATATGACAACTGATTCTGAACAGAACATCACTGTTTCAGACAACACTGAATACTTTTAAAACTTTCCCTAAATTTTGCATCACATAAGAGTAAATAACTGAATTCAATTTATAGGTATAATTTTAATTATCTGTCAAATAAATCCAGCGCTAGGATAATTACCAGAGCTTCCTACTCTTTCATCCCTGATCCATTCTTATTATTGAATTCCTGCAGCAATTTTTATTTTACTTAAAAAAAAAATCCAGCTTGGTCTTACCTCATCCCACTCGGAAGCAAAGGAAGGTGATTTCTCCAGCCTTTTTTTCCCAGTGCTACAATTGGAAAGGGATTCACTTCTGCTCCCCATAGTATCGTCCTCTGTTGGTGAGGTGGTCAAAAGGTCAGAATCTGATTTTGATAAGCTACGGCTAAGTTTGAGGTCTGCTTTGGACTTGCTTCCTGGATGAACTCTTCCCACAATACTGCTCTTGTCTCCATCCTCAGCACTACCGGGGTGCTGTGGCAAATGAGGATGTGCTAAAGTTCCAGAATCCAACTTGTCACGGATATGGCGTATGGCTGAATAGACCACTTTATTCTGGTCTGCAGTACTAGATTGTACCGATCCAGAAGCCTCAACATCTTCCAGCTGCATAGCAGTTCCTTCTGTACTTCCTTTGCCCACAGCAGAAATGAGTCTCAAAGGGTCCTCACTTATGTCACACACTGGAGAAGAACCATGCAGAAGACCTGAGAATTGATCCAGTACCTGGGCATCTTGGACATCTGCTTGGCTGTGGCTTCTGTTGAACCTTTTTTGGTCTTCAAAAGGGTAAGAAACCCCCCCAAAATAAAACCCAACACATAAAGATCAAGAGAAACAAGATTTTAGCTTTTCTCCCTCAGAGAGAGAGAAAGAAGAAGAAGAAAGAACAGCATTGTTCAGAGTATTCAGATTTTACCCAAAGTTGGAGCATTTATGAAATTCTAAACAGTGGCCTGATTTATGCAATCTGGCAGCCCGCTCTGTTTCATTTTATTCCTGTTAACACTAACAATCAGCCCTTGCTATATAAGGTTTGGAGAAGTGCTAACTATACCCAGCAAAGGGATGGGGGTGGGGGGAGGGGAGAGACTGAGTCTCCTGGAACATATTTCTATAAAGGCCAAAGTGTTATTTAGAGCAACGCTCCCTATTCCTTGGCACAGAATGCTGGGTGGGGAAAGATGAGCTGCAAACAACCTGCAAATATGAACAAATTCCCCCCTCCACCCGACAGCTGTTTCCTTCCCTGGTGACTTGAACTCACCTCCTTTTGCAACAGCAATAATTCCTTTAAAGCTTCACTTTGCTATTAACTTATTTCACTACATAAAATGATCTACTGCTGCACTGAATTTCAGCTTGGAATATGTATTGCAGCAGAGAGATAACATTATAACTTAAGACTCATGCTTTAATATATTGTATCAAAAATCAAAACCTGATTAAAGCATGAATAATTCACTGATGTAAATTATGTAAAAGCTTATAGCAAAGAGCCACTCTGAACAACAATCATTAATGTGTTGCCCAATATTTAATATTGATAAAAGCCAAGTTATTCAACCTAGGTTCTTCACAATGGTACTTTACTCACTGAAGAATATCTGAGAAACAGAAAGTGAAGCTTTTTTCTATTGTACTTATCTTAGATTGGACATACAAACATAGATATGAAAGGTACTAAATTCAAATCCAGAAGAACATTAAAATAAAATTACTCTGGTAGGCTCTATTCAGCCAAAGTTAGGTTACATTTTGCAAGGATTCAGTAGTGCTTCATTATTCCTAAATCAAATCAGAAAGTACTTATCTCTGACTCAATTGGAGCCTTTGTTCATTAATCAGTACAAAGAAATCAGAACAAATCAGGAAAGGTTGTTTCAATGATACACCTTATATAGTCATTTCTAAGGGTTTTTGTTTCTATTTAACATGATATATATCCCACAAAGCTTTCACAAGAATAAATCATTACTCTTTTCTTAAATATTAAGCTACAGCTGATATCAATTTAATAACCTTATTTGCTTTATGTATTATTGATTTTTTTTTCCTTAAGACATATTCTGTAGGTTTAACAAAATTATGATTATTGGCTGCTATTCCTCTGAGCTTAAAATGTACTCAATATCTAAGAAAATACTTTTTATAAAATCACTTATTGTAGAGATACAAAGTATTTTATGCTTGTGTTTGGTACAGTGCATATTTTTTTCCCAGCAAAAATGTTTTTGCATTTGTTTTTCTTACGCAAAATTATGAAGAACAATTGGTCTGAGAGCATTTTACAGAACAAAATTACATCCTGACCAGATTTACATTAAGATTCTTATCTTAATATGTGTATAGCAGAGGAAATGTATCAGTCTAAGCTACCCAGAGGAAGTATAGTGTCTAAAAGGAACATCTTGTCTGCTTTCATAGATTTGCTGTGATAATATATTAATAGCAACATATATGAAAAGATGAATAAAATGCCTCTGCACTTTACTGTTTGCACAAAATGCTTAATATGGCATCTATACACAGTGTTAACATTTAGCAACACTGCTATCAGAGGGTGGAAAAGCAGCTGACAATGTGTATCACACACTGGAAATTGCATTCTTCCAGAGGCAGCTATGAAATCCAACAAAGTGGTCACTGTTGCAATGAAACTGTGGCTGTGTTTCCCATCTCCCAAAAGCAAAACAACAAACAAAAAAAAATCTCCCAGCATGAGCAAAGGCCTATTAAGAGACTTTTGAATTTTTTTTGTCATGCTAGTTAGATCAAAGGATTCTTGCATATATTAAAAAGCAAATACCATTTTTTTCTTCATAGGTTTCTATGAAGTTGGAATCACTCAGAATGATTACCTACCTTTTGGCATCTCAACCAACTGAGATTCAGGACTTGAATATTGTTCAGAATGGCTAGAAGAAAAATCGGAAGAAGCTTGGCAATTTAGTGGCCACTGACCATCCTGAGAAGATAGACCTTTTCGTGACCATACCTATAAAGAATCATGTAAAATATTATACTGTAATATTATTAGTTATGATTTATCAAAAGTTAACCTTTATGCCTCAAATAAAAATTATGTAAGTGAAATATAATTCCATATACCTCTTTACCTTATGTATCATGCTTCCAAATATTTTCAAATGTTTAGTACAAACTTCGACAAATGGTAATAATTAAAGTGCAAAAATAAATAATCAACTAGAATTAATATGTTGATCTCATCTGTGGCTCCTCGTTCCTCTGCACTGACCATGTTAGCCAGAGATGATGGGAAATTGCTAGTTTTTAAACAAGGTTAAGGACAAAAAATACTTTCAGGCAATAATGAGCCCTTAATCTCTGACAATGCCTAGTTCAGTGGTTCTCAACCTGTGGGTCGGGACCCCATTTGGGGTCGAACGACCATTTCATGGGGGTCGCCAAACAATGCAGTCCGCCATTTTTTTCCCCCTTTTCCTTAGCTGTGCTACTCCCTTTTATTCTATTGGCTTTTGAAAGCCAATAGAATAGACTCTCTTGAATAGAGTCTAATTCTATTGGCTTTCAAAAGCCAATAGGAATTGTCCAGGCTGTCTCTGCCCTGCTGAGCCTGCCAAAAGTCCCATTCTGCAAACGGTGCTGCACCAGTTGAGTAGTCCTCAACTTACAACCGGTTGAGTAGTCCTCGACTTACGACCGGTTGGGGGTCGCGGCATTAAAAAGGTTGAGAATCACTGTTCATTCTGAAATGCTGTTACTGATTATATCAGTATTTTTAACAGAATGCAAAATCTAAATGTTAGATACCATTTTTGAGTTTGAACCGATAGATAGGAAAACTCTATTGCCTGTATTATTTGTTGAATCAAATTTTTGGTGGCAACAACTACTTCCACTTTACTATAACGGTATCATAAAAATATTTGATAAATACATTTAAAATAAATAATTTTATTTTAAAAAAGGACAAAGAATAATATCTATATGACTTCTGAATTTTTTTCCTGAAACCAAAAGCAATCAATACTTTTAGCTATATACTACTCCAACCAGAAGGTCTATATCAAGCCTGCACAACATATGGCCCATGGACTACATACAGCCCATCAAAAAGCCTTGTGTTTTCAGACTGTTTTCAGACTTCAGGTTTTTCAGAAACTCAATAAATTTACTGCCACCAAACATAACCATTGCTGTCATTTCATAAATCATGATAAGTGTCTCCTAGCCTCAATGAGGCTTCCAGCTGCAGCACTGCCACTGCTCCGCCAGCCACAATTCAGCTGATCTGTAGTCAAAAGTAGTCTTTACAGCCACGATTATTTTTAATTTTTTTGATGTAGTCTTTTCCCTTCTACAAATTGTGCAGGCCTGATCTAGATGCTTACTACATTTGGTATTTGTTTCATCATCATCATCAACATCATCATATCATGTTATTATCATATCTCAACATCTGGCTGACTGTGTGACCTATTAAATTTATATGCCACCTAACTCTCAATGATTCTGGGCAGGTTACAATGGTTAAGAACATAAATCCATATAAAAAGCAAGTGTCGTCCTCCCCACCCATCCACCCTGGCACAAAAAACCCCTTCTGATTCACTGTATAAAGTATTCCATTTTTCTTAATTAGAATTATCCTTTCATCATTTTACTGTTGTTTAGCATTAAACAATTTCAGTTCTGTTTCAATGTTTGCTATAAAATATAGGAAATGAAAACATATACCTTGATAGATCTCAGTAGGATTTTGCAAAAATGTTTTAAATTTGAACCACGCTGCAACTGAACTGTCTTGAGTTGAAAACACCTTATTTCAACAGCAAACAGCTGTCTCAAATTCAAAGCAGGATGTTTTGACTGTTCTGGAGGTGTCTTGAACTTGAAACTTCTCATAAATATTGAACCATCTCATAGTTTTAAAACGGTTTTTCTTAATACTTAACTCTACAGCTGTAAAATGTAAACTGGATCTGTTGCGTTGTATATACTATATGTGCACTGTTGCATGCAACAGTGTCAAATAGTGTTAGGTCTACTTTTACAATGACAGTCCTCAGCAGAACAGAGTTTTCTTCTTAAATACACTCCAGAAGCCAGGTCCTTCCATAGCAAGTCCCTCCTTAGGAAGCAGGGACAGAGGAAGGAGAAGAAGAGAACATTCCTTGGTATGAGTGAACGTCTATTGGCATATTGGATATAATCTATACTAAAATTATATCTGTCTTACCTGGGGCTGGACACTGCAGGCAGCACCTAAAGGTGATTCACCTAAGAATTTAAAAATAAAAAAAATATTTTTACTGTATGCAATACAAATCTGTCTTTAGCAAATTACTGTTAAAAGCAAGACATACAATCCTGGAGAACGGGATCACTTGAATTCTGTTCTAAAATCTCCCCTCAAAAGGTTTACTACCTTTTAGTTCAGGGGTGTCAACCTGCCAGCCCACGGGCCGGTTGCATCATGCAGAGGCCGTGCCCGCCCCAGCTCCAGTAATGCGAAAAAAGTCATGATACGTCACAACATGTCACATGACGTGGCAAATTTGACACCCGTATTTTAGTTCTACAACAAAATGGCTCAACTTTTCCTCTACCACATGAGCAACAACATACTGTATTGCCTAGAGGGTGGGGGGGGAGGGATAATAAAATACATTCTGTAAGCTTTATGTCATAATTTTAGATTCCTACCAAGTGAATGGTATAGTATTACAATAGACCATTTTTAATTATAGGTTTTGAATATAAATATTACATTTTAATTCATGGCATCTTCACCTAAAGCTGGAAAAATCTCTCACTTGAAACATAACCAATCAATATTTGGCTACAAAGGGATAAGAATTAATCTAGGTTAGACGCACAATGCCAAAGTGAAAAATACATAATGAGTGAGGTAGTTCGTGAAGACTAGCCACTAATCAGAGGGAGAGGGAGAGGGAGCGACAGGGAGAGCTTGCACTTTAAAATCAGTGTTGACTCCTGACAACTGCCTGGACTTGTCCTACAGTTTTCTTGGCAAGATTTTTTAGAAGTGATTTGCCATTGGCTGCTTCCGAGGACTGAGACAGGATCTCAAGGTCTTTCAATTTTTGCCCGATAGCTTTAACTTTAACTGGCTCTTTTAATCCAATTGGATTAGACTGTAATTCATCTTAAATATATCATTGCTATCACAATAAATGTATGCAATTTGACAATGATATAGCAAAGCTGAAGAGAATACCCTGAAGTGAGTTATCAGGGCTTATGCAAAAAGAATGAGGCTCATAAGAATATAGGCAACTTTGTATCTATGTATACTAAGTAGTCAATCTGGTGGAGCAATAGTAGGTTGATTTGAGTGTAATCATCATGAACTTGAAGCACTAACAATGGGGAGGAGGCAGAGTTTCTCTTTCATTTTAGGAAATGTAAAATGTTTAGAATAAAGTCCCAACCAGAACATCCTTAGAAAGAAGACACCATAATACTTTAGAAATGTTGGGATTGTATCAAAAGGCTGGGTAGGATGTTGAGGGATGTTTCAGGGAACTGAGCCCAGTAACCTCAATCCTCATAGCAAGGTCTTATGAATCTGTGATAACAGAAACCCAGTTTGGGAAATAGTGGATCAGTAGATCTCCACATAGGATGCTACAGTATCCTCATAATTAAAGGAACTGGCTTGCATGATTGGTGTCTTCAGAATTTTGTATCCAATCTTTAAGGAAGAATTATCACCTTGGAGATTAAGCCCAGATGCACTCTAGATATCCAGGCAAACAATGCTGAACTGTGGAATTTCAGTTTCTATGTTGAAATCAGAAACACTACTACTGATGTAAGTAAAAGTCCAATATTTTTATTGCAGTCCTGTGCTTCTGGACCTCATTTGGGTTATCATGATTTATTCTCATTAAACAAGGCTTCACATTTCAAATGGGAAATTTTCAGTCTTGACCATGACTTCATAGCTCAATCCAGAAGATATGAAATTTATATCTCCTTAAGGGTGCCCACTATGGCCATAATGTTCGTTTCACTCTGACTCTAACATACCTGGAAATATTGATTTGCTGTTTAGTTCTTTTGCTTCTGAAAGATCGTTCTATCATCTTTTGAGATATAAGGCTCTGGAGACAGTTCTTTCTCACCTAAAAACTGCCAATACTTCAGTAGGCAAGCTCAGTAGCTGGAAATGTACAGAATGAAGGCTATGGGGCAATAAAACCTTCATTCATGATTCATGCTTCTACTAGTCCTTATCCATTGGTGCAGAATGCACATTTTCATAGGACCAGTATTGAAAACTTCTTTCCAGTATTGAAAAATAGAAAGGGCTATAATATATATCAAAAGTATTAACAATCTTTGACTTGATAAAACATGTTTGGAGGCCAGATCCACAAAGAATAATGCACAGTAATTAACACGGCAGCTACATCATGTTTGAACAGTACTGAAAACAAGATCTTAAAGCAGTTGTGCCTGCTCCTTAATCATAAGGCTGAAGATTCTAGCCTCAAGAAAACAACCTGTTAGTACTGAGAAAATGGTACTTCCTGTTCTGAACTCTGCATCTGATTACTGTGTTGGTGAGCCTTCCTGGCATGCGGAAGCAGGAGTACCAGATTTATAATCTCTTATCTCCAAAGAAAAGATGGCTATCTACAATTGAATTCCCAGCAATAGAATGTGATGGGAGTTTCAATAATGGTCATTCATTGGAGTCACAAAGCCAAAGGTGAGACTCTACCATCTGCTGGGACAATGTCTCAATACCATATTACTCAAAATGTGGGATGTGATTCTTCCTGAATGGAGTTCCATCACAGAATGCCTTTTTCTCAAATCATTTTGAAGTAGGCTTACTAGTAGAGTACAATAGTAAACTGAATGCAAAAGCAACACAATGTTTCAGAGCCCTGTTTGAAGCCTGGTGATTCTTCTGCCTTTTTAATGCTTGCCTTTCAAAAGAAGAGTAATCATGTCTGGAGGGCATCATGAGCCTTCTATGAACATTTGACCTGTCATTCATTTTGGAGCTTATTTTTCAAAGAGAATTACAATGCAGAGAAGGGAGGACAGACAATAGGTTATAATTAGGAAGTTATTAAAATATCTTATTATAACTAACATTATATTACAACTAATGAATTTAGAAACAGCAAGCTGCAAGGGCAAGAGGTTATATTGTGACTATTACCTCAGTGTGCCTGCACTGGGAAAGAGAGAAAAAACAACCAAATAATTTAGTGCCTGCCAATTTATAAGTCACAACATTTAAGCGCAGCTACAAGAGTCTGGAACTGAGGAAGAACCTCCACAATAAAACAAGATGGTGAGGACATTATTGGCCTGAAATAATGTGATTGAAAAGCAGTTAACTTTCTCTAATCTTATACTTTGAGATAAGATGTATTAGTTTAAATGATCTCTTAGTGATGGTGTATAATTTTTCTACTAGATCAGAGAGATCAGCATTGGAATGGTGTTAGAATTATAGCCACAGAATTTTCAACTGGTCCTGAACTTCTGAATTGAGAATAAGACAAGAAGAATTAAGATTATCCTGTGCATTGGTTTTGTCCTTTTGTTGTTGTTCATTTGGACAGATATCTGTAAAGTGGGACTCAAGAGCTCAAAACTGATCCATCATCTTTTGATCAATGGAACCTGGGATTATCATGGGACAGCCATTATACCAGAGGTTCCTTTTTCTGTTTTCAAGTCTCCTCCATAATGGAGGAATGCTTTTCCTTGGTTCCTAAAAGAAATTGTTGTTCCAAACCTTATATTTATAAATGGAGAAAATACGGAATGAATCAGATCTTTGACACTGCTTAATTGTTTTTCTTAAGAGACTTGTTCCCAGACAATTAGGACAATCTGTTCTTTGCTGGTCAGTGAAAGCCCAAGAATGGGAATAAGAGTCAATGACACAACTCTCCATAACCATCCATATGCACAAGTAGTGAGGAATCTGAAAGAGGTTGTCTACTGCTGCAATGCATATACATATGAAATGGTACCTTCAATGTCAAGCACTTCTACTGCAAGCATCAATAGCAAGTACTTTTTAGAAGTCAGCATTATGGCAGGCAAAACTGAGGAAATAGGAGGAGCCAGGGCTTTTTTGTCATAGAACGCCCAGAACGGAGTTCCAGCACCTTTTTTGGATGGAACCTTGTAGGTAGGCAAGGCGGGTTGTATGACATGTGTGAATTCCGGCACTTTTTTTTTTTTTTTTTTTACAAAAAAAAGCACTGGGAAGAGCCACAAATGAATTTTTGACGGTCATGTTTCTTTAGTTATATATTTTACATTAAGAGATTTTTTGGGAGTTGGGTGGCCTCAAAATTTAATGAATTAAATTAGATAATATTATGATGTTGCATAGGGTAGGGTTCCAGTGAAAAAAATCTAAGTTCCTAGGATATTTTAAAGAAGCAGTGCATGATGTGAATTCTTATTCATGAGTACTGGAAGACAGAGTCTGAAGTCCATTCTCAGATGACAAAAGTGCTGATGTTTCTGAAGATCCAGAGTTTATAGGCCAAGAACAATTAGTGCTAATATTTTTTGAGGATCTGAGATCTGAGGGTTGTAAGAACAGTTGCTAAAAACAACATGCTGGGATATGTTCTTAAAAACTGGCAGTATTGATTTAGCAGTAATAAATGCAGGTAGGAAAAACCGGTAGTCAGTTTGATGAATTTTTGGAAACAAGGACAGTTCTTGATAATAAGAACTGTTCTTGATAATGCTGGACAGAAAGAATATATTTTGGGCAATTTTGGGTCTTCAGAAATGGGACTTGGGCAACAGTCTATTGGGAAAGTGTAGGCTAATTTCTAAACTATTTTCTTCACCCAACATTTTGGGAATAGAATTTTCCTTGAAATGAGAAATGAACATGAAGAAGATAAATGCAGGAAAAAGAAACCCAGGACTTTGCCTTCAACTAAACAAATGAATATGGAGAAGGATCAGATCTTATTGCTCTTTTTGTGATAGTCTAAAATAAACTATGAGAAAAGGTGAAAAATCATGCTTAGGATCATGCACACTGGAGAGAGTACTTCCTGTTAAAAAAAGCTACCTAAATTCAAAAGGTTTCCACTGATGACTTTTAAAATCTGCATAATTAATATGTGTGATGCATAGAGACTCGAAAAAGACCTTTCAATGTCAAATGGACATCTCAAAACACAGTAAATTTTAGCTGTATTTTAGAACTAAGCTCTGGATAATAAAATATTGTAATTATGGGAGAGAATGAGGAATGAGGAATCATGAAAACTGAAGCCTTGCTGTAATTCATACTTATAATATTAAAATATGGTTTAAATTTAGACAGGAATCCTCCAAATTTGATTATTTTCTCCTACTGTTCACATAATGCTCTTTTTAATAAAGGAGGATGTATGATTCAGAAGTCATACTATTTTTATGAAGCAAATCAAAAGTGTTCTATTTAAGAGATTACTTTAATTCTTATTATTTAGTATTGCAATTGCTTATTGAAGTCATATAGTTAGAAAAGCTATATAACTACTGAATTATTTCTTCTGGAAAAAATATTAAACTAAGTAGGCATTTCTTTCCAAAGCTACTTCAGAAATATTGTACAAAATCCACTGAAATAAATGTTACAATAGAGAAAATGGGTTGACTTAATAAGATACGTTTCAGATGAAAAAATAAAAAGAATGTTAATGCCTAATGTCTATACCTGAAAACACAATGGGACTAATTTCAAGTCACAATGCACAAAATCTAAAGTGCTACCTTTTCAACAGCCATAGCTCTTATTATTAATTCTACCTTTATCAGAATATGAGAAACCATTAGTATGAATAGGAAGAATAGAAACAATCAACCCTTCTTCTATTACAGTATGAATTCATGCTTGGAAAATGAACATATAAAGTAATCTCAAATCAGCCTTTAAAATGCGAAGAACTAAGATTGTTTCACAAACAAGTCACATTAGCTAGGCTCTTACAGATGTGAGAATTCAGTAATATGAGAGGACAATGGACACTAGGTCAGCAAGAGATACATTTGAATGAATTTGCTAGGTACTGCAAAATGAAGAGAGCAAAGTTCGTATGCATGAGCACACAAATTGGGAAAGCAAGGAGAAATTTCCCAAATAGTTGAGGTGTCTTGCAAAACACTGTGGCTATTTTAACCATACACTTTGCTTGGTTTTCTATAATAAACATACAACAAAAGTTTGAGTCATTTTCTGCTACCAGGAAGATTCCAAAGCAAGAATATTTTAATCAAAGTCTTATGAAAAGAAATTGCTAGGTGGGCACACAAAACAAGTCAATCCTGCTAACTTAAAAGAAAAGCTAAAACTGTTTCAGTTTCTTACCTTCTGCCCAAGATTAGTTTTGGGGATAGCTAATTATATACAATTTGCAATAACAGTCTTTACCTTTTGTTTTTTTATCTACTGTAACATGTTTCTTTGTTTCTGCTGTTAGCAAGAGTTCATAAGGATGTTCTTCTTCTTCATCAGCTGTGCTCCCTCTATTTTTTCTTTTGGTGACGAAACCCTAATCAGACACAGGCATAAATTAATAATAATTGCATCTCTTATTAACTAATAGTGCATTGACTACTTTTCATGATCGCTGCAAAACATAAAAGAGATTAATATACGCGTATACATGAGAAACAAATATAAGTTTCAGCATTTCTATGGCCCTACAGCCCCACTGAATCACTTCTCCCTATGCTGAATTTCCATTAATTCTGTATTTTTTCAGTCCCCATTTCCCTTTGGAATCCAACTGGTGTATTTTCATAAATTTTCAGCATTATACTAAGCATCAGGCAGTGGCAAGTAATGGTAAATATTTGCCACAGCATGGTAGTCTCAGAACTACATATTTTGACATTCCTCCATTTAGGTAGAAAGTGTACACGTTTTGTACTGTATATAGTATTATTTCTTTTAAACCTATTAATTCATTTAAAGTTATCTGACTGAGATATGAAATAAGATTCCAGAACAATCATGTAACTGTGAATACAATATTAAAACACTATGCGTTTAGAATCCAATTTAAAATAAAAGTATCCCAAAAAAGGTTTTAACTTGTGATAAAAACACAACTTCATTGGTATGAATCATATATGCAATCCAAAAATCAGGTACTGTGACAAATCTCATATTACCATAATGCATAGAAAATGCTTTGAAGAAACTATCTCCAGCAAATTTTAAAGCACAGGCTGGTACAGATAGATATTTTATACCTGTTGATGCCAAGCAATATATGATTTTAAAGATCAAAATTATTTTCTTGAACTGGGAGAGGAAATAAACAGGCAACACATGCAGCTCCCTCGGGATGATACTTATGCAATTACATCTAGCTGCACTGTTAGTAATGTAGGAAACAAACTCTGTTCTTGTTTCAGTTCCTAAAGGTTGTTTCAGTGCCAGAGCTGGATCTAACTAAAATCTGGAATGGATTAGGATAGTAAATTTCATCTGAAAGCATTTAGAACTGAATGATCATTTTCTCCAGGTATCAAAAGAAATACTTGGGAAAGGCAGAATTGCTGTGTTGGTTATGAAAGTATGGAGAATGAATATATAAAAAGGAAAATGAATTTATCTACCTTCAACTGATCATACTATTTTGTGTAAACCACAATCTCAGAGGGTTTTGCCAGAAAGCTAGCATATGTTTTCTTGTATCAATGAAAGCTGGACACTAAACATTTGCAGATTCTGAGCATCCAACTTGGATAAGTTTTAATTAATTTATATGCTTCCCTCTCCTTTTCACTTTTTCTTATTTTAATTCAAGCCCAATTTCTGTAAATAGCTTCTGTAAATTATAGTTTAAGTTAAAAATGTACTCTAGAATCAGTTTGATCTCAATTTGTTCTTATTACCCTAAGTTAAATTTGAAATGAACAACCTACTTATAAGTTTTGGAGTAACATGCCAAGTTTGTCCTCCAAAGTTGTGGATGCAATCAAGTAGGGATGATTTCCTAATATGTTTGTTTTTCCTTTTGTCACATTACAGATTGATAGTCCCTTTGAAGGCTACCCCTATAATTTTTAACAGGTTTGTGAATTCAAAGAATTCAAAGAATGCTGATTTGCTAACAATATTCTGAACTTCTCTTCATAGGCAGGAAAACTAAATATGGAAGATTCATTCCCCCAATGGAAAAACATGGCTCCTGAGCTACAACTTATTTTATTGTGAGGAAAGCACTTTTTCTCCAAAGGAATTTTTTCTAGCAAATAAAAAATGAAGAACAATTTAGGTAGCATATATTTACATATCAACTGAAAATACTCCACTCTATAGAGTAATACCAAGATATCTACAGAGTATCCATACATATCAATCGAAAGTAGGCTAAAGGACTGCCAGATGCAAACCAGACCATGGCAAAAAATCCTGGCAAAAGCCTGCTGATATGGTAGTTAAAACCACTAATAAATATTTTTTTTATAAATGTCACATTACCCTCTAAACATATTAATGTGTTGGCATTCCCTCCACATCACTAACATCAAGGAGGACACATAAGGATGTTTACCACTGAGGATGCATCATGTTTTTTATCTTCAAGTTCCTCTTCTTCATCAGGGGGAGGTTTTGCAGGAGGTGGTGGACGCTCTCTCTACAATTTTCAAAAAAATAATCGTCAATGACTCAGTTCAAATTCATTTTTGATGCAACATTAACACATTTACTGCAGCAAAGCAAATAAGTGATTTGATCAAAATGATGAAATAAATGATGTGGCCTCAGGATACAAAACTGTGCCTTACCTTCTTACATGCAATGTCATAATAAAAATACAAAAGTGGAGAGCCTGAATTGTGTACATTTTGTTGCTTGTCTTCCCTTGAACTTTGTAGACTACATAGATGTCCTAACTATTTGATTTGCAATTTCTCTAATAACAAAACTGGCACAATTATCATTCAATAAATATTTCACAGACTTGGTAGGTAGTGCTTGATAGAGCAGCTACAGAGGAAAAAGTTGGACACTGAAGAAGCAGGACAAGAAGAGAATTAGTCAACCCCAAGTTCTTACTTGAGGGGAAAATGGTCAGGCTCATATTATGCTACTTTGGTTACATTATGTGAAGACCTGGCTCTCTAAAGAAAGTTCTAATGCAGAGAAAGATACAAGGAAAGGTAAGAAGAAGATGACCAGGAGCAAGGTAAATGGAGTCAGTTACAGTGAAGAAGGGTTCGCCACTGAAAGACCAAGTTAGGGACAAATTGTTATATAGAAAATCTATGTGGTTGCTAAGATTTGACACTGATTTGATGGCACATAATCAATTAATCAGTTAATCAATCAATACCGTTAATATTGGGTTACTGATCTCAGAAGACACTTAAAAAGCTGCTGATATATGCACATATTGCAGACATTAAAAATATCATATATTTCTCTTTAAACCTGTTTCATTAACCTGTTTCAATCTTCAAATATACCTCTAAAACAAACGCATATACACATTTATTGACAGCACAGAATATCGGACTTGAATCTAGAAACCAAGAAGTGCTAGCCAAAGAAACAAACCTACATGATAATAGCCCACACTGACCCAATGAAGGATTTTTATAATGGAATGCTGAAGCCAGAATTTATGTAACAAATCTCTCATTCTAGATTCACATTTTCAAAGCTGCTATGGAGAGATAAGAAGTAAATATGTCCCATTATGTATATCTTCTCACATTCGATAAATTTTCTGCATATTTCACTTCTAAATGGATATAACAATATTGGCTATATCCAATGTTATATTCCCAATAAAAATATGACTTCCATTAGAATGAAATAATTTAAATTAAATGATGTGAACACATACAAAATCTAGTTGTCTTCTTCTTAGCATTTTTCTCACATAGTTGCAGTGTTTTTGCACTGCACTCACCAAGTTCTTACTGTGAAGTTTGTCAACTGATTTTCAAAGACCCTGACACTGATTTCGGTTGAGAGGAGGTAAGAGGCCTAACGTCACCCAACTGGCTTCTGTCCCTAAGGGAAAAGTCAATCCCTGAATCTCCTTACTCCTGCTTCAGTGCCTTAACTGGCTCTCCTACCTCTGATCTAGTAAATGTCAACCACTGATAACTTCAAAATAAATCTGCATATTTGGGCTGCATGTACAAATTCATATTTAACTTTGTATATTTATAATAAACCGCAACCATCCGTATTTTAATGTGCAATAAAATTCCATAACATGCTCAAATCCAGTACTTATCAACTCTGGTGGATTCTTTAAATAAAACTGATTGCTTTCAGAGAAACTAACTTAAGTGATTTTAATTAGCCTGTAAAGCCTCCAAGCTCCCCCTGCTGGATTATATCCATAAATTCTATGACAAACTGATTTACTGGCCAATTAATATAATAAAACAATGCAAACAAATCTAACATTCAGGATTATTACGGTATAGTGATTTTTTAATCTGAAGAAAACTGCATGCAAAAATGTTCAGAGGAAAGTCATATTCTAGACAAGAATTTTTTCCCTTGCTCCTAAATAGTTAATCTGAGCTACAGTCCCTAGCAAAATATATAGTGGTAGAAATTCACCCAAATTCAAATAGTCATCACACTATGAACTTGAGACAATTCCTGGGAGAATTTCATAGCAAGGGAAAATGGCCTCCAAGTAGTCAGTAACTAAAGCTCTTAACAATTATTTTCTATCACTTCCAAACTGTACAGCTGGGCTATTAATTTACTGCAAGTTTGGAGGCTTGGTGATCTATCCCAGTCTATTTCCTATAAAAAAGAAAAGATAACACACATCAGGCTACATACAGGTCTCACTCCTGTCACTTTAATACCAGTCATCTCAGCTTCCCTGTTCACTGAATCTCTGTCTGAGGATCTTCCACTGGCTAGGCTGTCCAAAGAATGACAGGAGGTTGCATTGTATAGTACTTCATATGGACACTCTTCTGGCTTGCCATCAACATCTGTTATCAGATCTGTCACTGCTTTCTCCACATTCCCTAAAGAAAGCAAACATGTTAAATCAGAAACAGTTGTACAAAATCCTCAATAGCTGCAGTGATCCTACTCACAAACTCTGGTCTTTGAAAGCCTGGCTACAATCATTCCTTTCCACAATGCCAGAGGCATAAAAGGTGGACTTCATTATTTCCATAACTTTCTAATTCATATATCACCTTTGCCTATGGACTAGGAACTGGGATCGACATATGTTTTGTTCTGAACTGCAGAGTTATTTTGACGAGGGAGTGGGGGGTGGAGAGGACTAGTACTTTCCCTACAGATCACCAGTGAAATACACTGGATTTTTTAAATCTTCTTTTGCATTATTTTACTATCTGCTTTAAATTCTTGAAACAGATGATGTAAGAATATTGTGGAAGCCATTCCAAAATGTTTTTTATAATCCAAATCAGCTAAGATGGAAAGAGTACTGTATTAATAATCTCAATATTAAGAGCTTATCAGAACTGAAATGATAAGGTTTTTAAAGAACTAGTTATAGATAAGAGCTGATTTATGGGAAGAAGAGATCATTTGTTGTATTTTACGAAAAGGTGATAATTGTTCATACTTATTATGGGGAAAGCAGAAATCATTTATTTATAATTTCTTTTTTTATTATATTCTTATTTTTCCTTTCTTTTCCACTTTGTCTATTTTCTTTTTTTCTGCACTATTTTTTAGTTTATATAAGTTTTTTTTATTGTTGCAGCTTTAATTTTTAATAAAATTACTATTAAACAAATAATTTAATACATTTCATAGTTTACCTTGAGGTATCCGAACTGAAGTTTCAGTAGAAGCAGTTAAAGGCGGCGATCTCTTTTCCTCTGCTGTTGCAAGATTCTTTCTTGTACAGTCTGAACAAATAAAATGAAATACAACAGAAATAAGATGACATGTAAGATATTTGCTACCTGAAGTCTTCAAAAGCAAAATACAGTAATCTACTTTTCATATATTTAGGTATGTTCTGCATATTTATTTTGGGCGAATCCAACACTGTGATTTTGCTAATATAGGTAGAGAATAGGTTTCTAGCTTTTTGGCTAGAATAATAACAAACACAATCTTTTCTGAAACTCAAAAAGGCTGACCCTTCAGAAACATCATATTTACCAACTTTCTAGCCAGAAACACAACGTTTCTGAAGGGTAGAAAGGCTAACACACTGCAACTATTCTGAAGGTGGAGCCAGGCAGTTAGCGAACAGGAAGTTTCTGAAGGCTAGAAAGAGGGTCTTTACAGCCTTCAGAACAATCACAGGAAAAGCATCAGTCTCTTCCTACCCTTCAGAAACATCATGTTCACTAGCTTTCTAGCTTAGCGATCATGATGTTTCTAAAGGTTAGAAAGGTTCTTTCAAGCTATTTTACCCTTCAGAAACAACATGTTCACTAGATGTCTGGCTGAGCCTTGCATCGGCTTGGCACACCTGACAGTAGCTGCACAAAAAGGCAAAGGTAAGTGGATCTGGATATGGTGGGGTGGCAGGGAGCAGGATGAGGCCTCCAGGGTTGTGGCAGTTTTGTGTGCACTAGTGGACCAAATGAGCAGCTGGGATGGGAGAGAGATAGGTGAGGAGGGGGGTGTTGGCAGCACCCTTCAGTCATAGGGGCAGATACGCTAAGTGTCCAAATCTTGATCACATGACCTGCAACAGCCGTAACTTCTGTCAGGAAATGTTTCTCCATTCAGTACCATTATAACTTCAAATTATCACTGAACAAATGGTCTTAAGTTGAGGACTACCTATATTTTTTTTTTAAAAAAATGGATCATGACTCTTTCCAGTCTTTATAGATTTCCATTTCGTTTACTTCACTCCATTCAGGAAGGCCTTTGTAAAGTAAATGGACAGTGGAAGGGAGGGAAATAAAAAAAAAAAAGCCACTCCTGCTAACCCCTTTTTGGCACACTGACACTGGATTTATATAATATTAAATCTGTCCTCTGTACTCTCTCAAAACGTAAAGACTTGTTCTTTTCCTCATGCAAATGTTGTGATGGCTGCTTCCCCAATAGTATTAAATGGTCAACAATCCTTCTCTGTGTGATGCCTGATTTTGTATCTCAGTCCCGATGCATTTGCACTGATCTTTCACTAGTCCGTTATTAAAAAATGAACCCACCTAAAACCCCATCTTTTAAGGATGCATTTAATTAATTTACAAACAATTTATGGCTGGAAAATGGTTCTGTTTTACTTTTCTTCCTCTGCCTACTTAATGCATCTTGCAATATAGACTGCTTTCAAAAGTGTCTGACCTGGAAGTTATAAATCTCAAAAATAAACAAGGGATGCATTACATTTATAACTAATTTGAAGTGGGATAAAAATACAGTACAATGCTGAGGAGACAATGATCAAATTCAGTAAGAACCAGGAAACTATTAATTTAATACCATATTTTGAGGAAGTACAAAAATGAGGGAAAACATCTTTTTGCTCAATTTAGCTTTCTTTGTATCCACAATGTAGTTAATTGAGCAATGTAGGCTTTTTAGAAATTGCCTAACTGAAAAACAACTCACACATTTTATAGTTGATAGTGTGTCATGTTAGTGTGCTTCCTATTTCTCAACCTTTGCCCTCTCTTCTTTCATGTTTAATTATTTACCTTCAATGAAAGCTGCTATTTGTTGGCTTTTTTGAGAAGGAAGTTCTCTGACAATCTCCAAAGCAGTCAAGCCTCTGTTATCCTTTATATTCACATCAATGCCTTCAACACAAAGAGAAACTTGACATTATACACAGTAATTCAGGAACATTAAGAAATATTGCATATACTCACATAGCAAAATGTGGTATAAATAGAACTGCTCCTAAATGTACATTTTGGCCCTACATCGATGTTCATTTATTGTTGTTGTTGTTGTTACTATTATTATTGGTTAAAGCTGCCCTTATGCCATATAAAGGCTCTTAATTTTAGAAGAAACATTTTTAATTTGGGAAGTGCTTTTATTTTAATTATAATTTTAAGACAAGTATATTTTATTGTATTTTTAATAAGAAGCAATTAAGCCTATACTTAAATGAAGCAGAATAGGAATACTTAAAATAATAAAGCAATAAATATGTTAAATTATAACTTACAATTCAATTGTAGTGAAAGCAAATAATAATTCCAGAAAGGAAATGAATATAAGTTCTTGGAGTATATAATCTCCTGATCTCCGTATCCAATTAGAGGTTTTAGCAATTCCTGCTTAGCTCTTATTAATTTTACTAGTTTATACTAAACATTCATGAGGCTTTAGCTTGAAGAAGTTTAAACAGGAGGGTGAAAGATTCAAGTTAAATTATGTTGGTCATTCTCAAGAACTATGCTAAGGCTGCTGAATGTTTACAACACTAAGACCACCAACAAAAATAGGAAATTTAAAAATATGTTTAAAAGATCCTCACCTGCAGCTAGCAATATCTGTACCACATCTGTTTTGCCAAACAAAGCAGCTTCATGCAAAGCACTACCTTTTTCTGTCTGTAAAACAAGTATGGGTTGAGAATACCATCAGAAAACAATAAAAGTGTATGTCCAGGTTCACAAACTGAAGCTATTTGTTGCAGTGTATTCCAACTTAAATCAGCTTCTTTAAAAATACAGGCTGATCACTCTAATCAATCAATGAGAAAAAACCCTCTGTATTTAATTTGAATTTTATTTAATTTGAATTTAAAACAAAAAAGACAATATCCAGCTGAAAATACAGGATTTAAGCACCAGAAGTTTTCTAGCTGACTATTAGAAAAAGTCTAGATTTCTAGAGTAAAACAGAATCCGCTAAACTTGAAAGAATTTGAAAGCATAATTCTATTAAATTTCAAACTTAACATGAATTCAAAATAAATGTATTTAACAATCTTTTGTATTTGTTGGGATTATAGGCTGCTTCAATTTGCCAATTCTGAGCAGCATATAATTGGGATATTAAAATGATGAAATAAATATGATGAAATAAAATGATGAAATAAAACAGTGAATAGAAAAGTTCTTATTAAACAGGGAGCTATAATACTAAATCTGATCCTGAAACATTACTTTAATGTTGAAACTCCATACACAAAATTTTAAACAAATACCTGGTAGTTATTATCCATGCCAGCCTCCAGAAGTACATGAACTACAGCTTTATGGCCATTTCTAGCTGCCAGATGTAAGGGAGTGTGTTTCTTAGTATTGCAACTTAATAGATTAGGATGAGCATTAAGCAACATCTTCACAACCTCTAGTCTCCCATAGAGAGCAGCTAAATCAAGAGGAGTCTCAAACTTGTTATTGCGCATAGTAGGATCAGTCAACTCCTCCAGAAGAACCTTCACCACTTCTGTATGGCCATACTGAGCTGCACAGTGCAATGCTGTCTCATTGTCGTTATTCTAAGATTACATAAATATAAAAACCATTAGAGTTTAGAGACAATTATAATAAAGAGAACATTTATTTTAAATATAAATGTATTAAAACTGTTTCAATTCTTTTCTACTATGCATGCAGTGGCATAGTGAGTACATCATGGTCCCATTGTTATTTATATGTACATATGCACACATGCAAACATTTGCTACAGAAAAAAATAGATAAAATATCTATTATTGCATTTTGAGATTAATATTACTTGTACTGTTCTATAATTTTTTTCACTTTTAAAACTCACCAAGCATTACTTATCCATTCAATAAAAGTTACTACAAATGCTACAAACTTACATTTTGCAAGCCAACAACGATAATAAATCATATTTCATGACTGTGTTATTTCTCTCTGGAGAATTCACCTTTTATTAACTAATCTGACACTATGTTGTTATTATATTTTATTTTAATTTTATATAGAAGGCCACTGCTATGACTAATATTATCAACTTATAGAAACGAATTATATGTCAAGAAACAGCTCTTTCATGTGACCAAATGCTTTTTTGAAATTGGGCTTCATATCGGGAAGTCATTGAATTATAAAATAGCATTGGGTTAAACGCTATGTGAAAACCAAAGTACTTTAAGATTCTAGCTGATACATAAATGAACACAAAAATTCTACTCAAACAGTGTATTTAACCATTTAAATGGTGTGTGTGTGTCTGTGTGTAATTATAATGGTTAAATATACCTAAACAAAACCCTGGCTTCACAAAAACATTTCAATTGTTTAAAAAGTAAATAAATTAGAACTTTAAAAGTTGTACTATACTGGACAAAATATAAGAGAGGTTCATTGTAATTTATTTTTGTTCTAGCAGTATCAATAATGTTCAATGTCTCATGGGCACCTGACAAAACTAGCTGAAACAGAAAGGAAATAGATGAACAGTCAGAGTGCTTTACATAAAATACATGGAATGTACAAATGAAAGTTACTATGAACAATGACAGACATGCACAAACATTTGAAAAATTGAGGAAGACACTTCCAACGATGGCGAAGAAACAATTCAAGCCAAACATTTGCCAAGGAAAAAGAGATTTATAGTGAAGGTGATTGTAAATGAGGTAATGCATCATTCAGCAGCATGCAGAGAATCTCACCATGAATAAAGGGAAAAGCATATGGTTCAGGATTTATAACTAAGATGTAGGGTTTAATGAAAGATAATGAAAAATCGTGATATCTTCTAACCACATTATATTACAAACTATACATAATATACCACATCAGTAAACATTGGGGGGGGGGAGACATAAACTGGACTAAAGATAGTTCTTGGCTAAATTGAGCTCAAATCCTAGGGATTGTATGGACATATACATACAGAGTTTTGACCAAAGACAAAAGTATTTTGCCACTGCCTTTTTCCAAGATTTTTTTTTCAATTGCATAGTCTAACCTACAGCCCTAGTATTACCTGGCCCTTTGTTATCCCAGCAATAACTAGGCTTGCTGCTGCTTTACTTGTGGGAAAAACAAGGCTAGACAGGTGCTGCTACCTATTTGTTGTACTCTGCATATTATGTAACTTCCAGTATTAACAGAAAAAATATAATTTACAGTATCTTAGTTTATACAAGGTTAACGCACAAATAATGATTGAATGCGCAGGAATGAATTTTAAAAAAAAGATTAATATGATTAACATCTTATTGTTGTCATCAACCTCTCATTTGCCTCTTAACCAAGTCATCAATTAGACATTTAAATCTGCTGGCCAACAACATCTGAAGATATAGGCACTTCTGAAATGCAAAATTTTACAAATCCTTATAAAGCCCAGGTTTGATTTCAAGTTTGTGGCAAACAATTATTTTTATTTATTCTAAAAATTTGGATGCCACCTCTTACAACCAGTGTAATCTGTGCTGTTTAGATCCAGCTGTGCATCCAAATAGCTGCACATTTGACAGGACTTAAATCTGAAGAATCTTCATTAATAGGATGAAATTGCTACTCCTTAAGAGGATGGCTTTGACAGCTCCCCAATTCTTTCAAAAGCTTTAGCCTATTAATGCAAAAATTTTACAGCCCAACTGAGATTTTTAAAAAGCAAGCCTTTTTGAAAATGCCTGAGACTGATTTCTGTAATTCTTAAGAGAAAAAGGAGAAAAGCCCATAAAACTGAGACCGTGATCACAATTGGCAAGCCCAACGAAACTCTAAGAAGAAATAGTTGAGGGAAAGAAAACAGCGACTTAAATTGAGGTAATTTTAACTATATTAACTCTAGAAAAAAAATTTCCAATTCTAATGTATGATCACATAATGTTTTTATGTATCATGGGTCTTCTTCTGACAGTCAGGCCAAAGTACCTTTTAACTATAAACAAATGTACATATATAATTCAATTGGGGGAAAATGCACAAATATGTCTAATTACCAATTTATCAAAACCCACTGTCTAACTCATCTATACTGAAATGCCTGCTGTCGCAAAACTAAACATTCATAAGCATTTTTCCTAGTTTTTTTTTTAAATAAAACTGTGTGCTTTATAAAAAATAGCAAAATTCTCTGTGTTTGTGGACAAAGGTCTTCAAGTCAGGATTGACTCCTGGCAACTGCCTGGACAAGTCCCAGCAGTTTTTTAACAACATTTTTAAAATGGTTTGCCATTGCCTGCTTCCTAGAGCTGACAGAAAGTGACTGGCCCAGCATCCCCAGATGATCTTGGCCCTAAGGTGGGATGACAACTTGCAGTCTTCCGGTTTCTAGCCTGATGCCTCAAACTTTATACTAAACTGGGTCCCAACCCAACCAAATGTTTGGTGAAATAAAAAGCATCATTTCCAGTTAGTTCAGAATACTCCAGTCAGCCTTGGGAATCTGGGAGCTGAAGTCCACACATCTTCAAACTGCCAAGATTGAGAAACATTGATCCACTATATGGAGAAGATCAGCATGACTCTCAGAAGTATTGTTTAAAGTAACATATTTTATTGTATCTTCATTTCTATGCTGTTTAGCCTTCCAAGTGAGCTTTGAGGAATATGCTTCTTAGGCTGGATTAGTTTAAACATTTGATTTTAATAGTATTCATTAATTGAAAATAATACTAAGCTACAAAAGGCTTAGAAAATAGCCTTGTAGAAACATATTAATCTCACTTTCCTCTTCAACATTTTAAAGATTTAAAATATCTTTTATTTAAAAAGACATTGATGCTCTCCTCCAGATTTCCAGAGGGATCTGGCTTGGTGGAAACAAAACAATGAATGAGCGAGCACTCTTTCTATATCTTCACCTTGCTGTTGCTGGTGTTTCCACTAAAGATTACAGAGAATAGAACAAGGGGCATTTTTGTGTACTTTTGGCATTTTAATGTTTGATATATAACCTACTTAGATGATGACTTCTAGATCATGTTTTTTGCTTCCACCGAGAAAGGAAGACCAACTAAGAAATCATTTAAAAAGCAGCATAAACTCTATACTGCAAAGAAAGTGGTTGGAAATTAAATGTGGCTAGAATGACATTTGCCTAAAATAATTACTGTATTAAAATTTAACTTCATTCAGTTTGCTTAAAGATTGCTTTTCTAGCTAAATGATCAAATGCTTTGTGGATCATAATTTGTAACATTTTATCATGAGGTGTACATTACAATGGGTCATACAGTGTTTGAAAATTTATAGAAATGTATGACTCCTAACAACATTCTTTTTCATTTAATGGAAAAATGTATCATCAAGAGTATCTACTTTTTCTTGTTTCTGGAAATCTAAGGTATACTCACAAATAGATACTGACTTATTATTATTTTATCATGAGGTGTACATTACAATGGGTCATACAGTGTTTGAAAATTTATAGAAATGTATGACTCCTAACAACATTCTTTTTCATTTAATGGAAAAATGTATCATCAAGAGTATCTACTTTTTCTTGTTTCTGGAAATCTAAGGTATACTCACAAATAGATACTGACTTATTATTATTTATATGTGTTACAGATTTTTTTAACACTTGGAAATTTTTTAAACATCTATTCAGACACAGAGAACTAGTTTTACAGTTCTTTGGATTCCAGTTTTGGTACTTAAATAAATTATACTTTTTAATGTTCTAACTTATATACAGATAGCCAAGGCAATCACAAATTTCATAAATTTCCTAGCTAAATATAGATACACATTCTGCAATAAAAATCCATTACAACAAAAGCGATTATACTCCTTCGTTCAGGTGCAAATATTTCAACTATTATAGTAAAGAAATATATGAATATATATGTATATATATGAACTATCAAAAAGAAAATAATTCAATCAATTATTTAAATTAGTATTTTTCTATTGTGATTTTAAAAACATTTCAGTTTCTGATTTAAATGTCTAAGCACTTCAATTTCAGCTTTTACCATTGGGTCGATCTACTTTAGACTGAAAAATACAGAGATTGAATATGGCTTCTGAAACTTCCTTAATGTCCAAAAACTATCATAGACATATAGGTAAAACTGAGCAAGCAGAGTGATGCTGTAATCCTCACCAAAACTTGTACATTATGAATCTTAGTACTATGCAGACTATAATTTACTATATCAAACATTAATGTTTACTCTACATTTACAGACTATATTCACTGCGGTCTGAATCTATAAAAGCATGTAATTTAAACTAATTCACCCTGTTTATCTCCAACTCTGATAATCTCAATATATTTAAAACCATACCCTTAGAGCCCAATTTGATTTGGACCTCAAAAATCAATATGTAAGCTAATCCAATATGATGGTCTAAAAATTAAAATAATTAATTTACAACAAACATTTATTTTGAGATTCATTATAACAAGGAATCATTTAAGATACTTCTAAATATTCTATTAGATTATCTGTTAAGTAATTTAAGATTATTTTCAATATTTTCGGATTTGCTTTTCTATTTTTCTTATGATTATTAGAAGCAGAAGGCTATAGGCCATATACAGTTTAAGAGAGAATCAGATGTGAAAAAGGAACTAGTGAAATAAGAAAAAATGAACATACTTTCACACAAATGGATACATGCATACATCCACATAGACAATAAAGGCATTATTATCCTCATCCAAGCACTAACAAAAATAGTTCTGTGTTATGTAGCATCATTACTATTAACAAAATGAAGTTCAGTATTGCTAAGAATGCACACTTGTTTTGGATAATATACCATAAACATTATCAATATTATTCCCTTTCTTATTAAATAGGGAAACAATACCAGAATGTTTTGAAATTATATTTTTGAATGCTATTACTGCTTTGGGAATCAACAAGTAACCAAGTAGAAAGCACTGGTAGACCTTGTTAACATCAAGTAAACTTTTACCAACCAGCCAAATCAAACATGGCTTAATACAAATATCACATTAAAGAGATAGGCAGTATCAATGAACTAGATGACAAGGCTTCTAAGAGCACAAAAATACAAGTTGGAGTAATGATACAGTGAAATCCTGTCAGCAAAGTACACACCTTGGCATTGATATAGGGGTCAAAGGGGCCGTACTTTTTGAGTTCTTTGATCTCAAGAGCATTCTACAAAAAGGAGAGGAAAAGAAAATGTGATGATGAAATGGCAGGATATAGTAAAAAAGCAGTGAGTGATTCTGAAGGGAAGAAATGATAGAACATGACAATATTTCATTCCAATGAAAAGGAATCAAGTAAACTAGCCATTCCAGCTGTCAATAGTTGATCATGCATATTGTTTTAAAGACAACATGCAAAGCTCAACTAAAAATCTTATGTTCTCTATTTAACACTTCACTATGACATTTTACAAATATTTGGCCTCATGCTAGCTATAGATTGCAAGAGCCTTCATTTTCATATGGCCCCATCCAATTTATTAACGAATTGCAAATGGCATTGTAAAATTGAAAATGTTAACAATAAAATGATTGACAAAGTTTTTTTCCCTAGAAGCACAATAAACAATATCTGACAAAAAAGATTTCCAAACAATATTATTAAAAACTTTTGAATGTGTACATTTGGCTATTCAATCACAAAAAACATTACTAGTCAGCAAATGAACTTCTTTGAATATTTGTAAGAGACTATGCTAAGCTGCTTGTTAACACAGGTAATAAGCCTCACAATCATGAGTTTGTTATAATTTTACTTTCCGCAAGAAAAAAGTTACCGGTCTATGGACAATAGACCCCTGGGGCCTCATTCTTGGTGATGCCTTCTATGATATAACTTACAGCTGGATACCCAGTGCTTCTCAACATTATTGGCCTTCCAAAGAGCTCTGAAAACTTTACTTTTTAGAAATGCATTTGTGGAAGTTGAGGTTTAGCCTACCTCCATGGATGTCTGTTAAATGTCTGTTAAATGTTTTATGTGAGATAAGTGTTTGATCCTTTGTTTTGTCTTTCTGTAAGCTGCTTTGATTTCTGGGAATATGTATTCAGCAGCATAGATGTCTTAGTAAACAAATACATACATACAACTAAAGGCAAGTGAAATAATTTCATGAGAAAACTCACTAGTATTCCCAATATTTCTCTTTCTCCATATACTAGTCCCGGTTTAATTTGGAGCAATATTGTAAGAGTTTACCTGGTCTTGATACCAATACTAGCACTAAGAGGTGTATATGTCTATCCGTGTACACAAGAAAGTTTTCAATCATACAAGTCAAATGGTAGCATTTTAAACAACAGAAACAATTGCTGTTTTTCTTCCATTTGAGCACAGCATTTTAGTAAATTAATTATTAATATCTGAAAGCTGTATTGTAGTTAACTGCACAAGATTAGCTTACTAAGCATAAGTAGTAAAGCAGTATAAGCTAACTACAAAATGTGGCAAAAAGAGAATAAAGCTGTTTAGATTTGTTTCACCACAGAAATAAACGGATGCACCAACTATGTCAAATTTCAAACTGTGCAGAAAATTGTGGCATAGGATGGGGGTGGGGTATAGGAATAATGATTAAAATTCTCCCATTGTATATGAACCAATTCAGCCATTGTTCATTTCTAAGTTCTCAATCTGATCAACCAAAAATACAGCTTTCAGGATACAATTTTTCAAATTTGCTGAACAATAATAGTATTTAACCTTTAGCCATTTCTCAAGCAAGATGTCAAACAACAAATTCATTCTTGCAGATGCTGTATTCATCCCCTCCTATGGAATAACACAACAAACCATGTAAGATCATTAAGAGCACAAAAAAGGAACATATTCAGACCTGCTCATTTACTTTAGTGTGGGAGGGTCCCTGGTGTATTAGCAGTTTCACTATTTCAGCATCTCCCTTCCAAGCTGCCAAATGGAGAGGATAACAGCCTTTGCAGTCAGCCACATTCGTTAATGCATCATTTCTCAACAGAACTTCCACAACATCCCTGAGGACGGAATAATGCCATGAAATTTCAGAAGAATTTTGACAATCAAAATCAAACAGTAAATTGGATACATGTGTTAATAAGAATATCAGTTTGTAATCAGTCAACTTGGAAAACATTTCCAAATTCAAATATTCACCAGGGTTGCTTCAAAACTGGAAAGTGAAAACAGCCTATGTTCATCCACCAAAAGAAAATAACGTTGCAATTCACTAACTGGGAGGTAACTTTCAGCCTAGTTGATGAAATGTATCTATATAAACAGGCTTAGGGTTAATGCATTAGGAATGCATTTAGTTATTCAAACTATCTATAAGCAGACAAGTGTTTAAATCTAATTTGCAAGAATAAACTTTTTTTTCCTTATGAGTTAGATATACAGTTTATTTGATTATTTTCTTAACAAATTAATATGGCTGCCCATCTACCTAAAGGAAGTCTGGATGATGAACAAGAATAAAAATACAATTACTAAGTACCATTAAAGCAAAACAGACAGTGCTGAGGCCCTAATAAGACTCACATCCATAGATCAAACATATCATGCTAGCTTCATTATGATCCTAATCCTAGTGCCACATCTTGATTGTTTTCCTTATGACCAACCAGATTGGGGCATCCATATCTCTAAGAGGAGGTTATTCCTTAAGGCAGACACCACGACAGAGAAAGTAAAATTCCAAACTCCAACCTGGCAAGACTGTTCCATCAAGAAGACCCAGATTTAGATGGATGAACAGAACCATTAGGGATAGGCAGTCCCACAAGTAATTTGTCCTTATGCCATATAGAACTTTAAAGGTGATAATCAGCATTTTAAATTCAACCAGAAATCCACTGGAAGCCAATGCAGCTCATGCAGCATCTGTGTTACATAGATGTTACTCCGGTGCTGCTATATGTGCCCTGGCCATTGTATTCTGGACCAGTGAAGTTTTCAAATGCTCTTGAAAAGATATGCCATACAGAACACATTGGAAATGGGAGGTAGCAAAGGCATAAGTGACTGTCAGCAATGATTCCAGATCTAGAAAAGGTGAAACTGGCACATAAAATATATTTGTGCAAAGGTTCTCCTGGCTACAGTTGCCATCTGCTATTCAGGCTGCCACTGAGTCCAAGTGGACCGGCAGTATATACCAACTCTGACCAGGAAAGTATAACTTCAGTCAGAATTAAAGATGGTAAATCAACAGATTTGAGGTGGCCCTAAAAAACAACAGCCATTCAGTCCTGTCAAGATTGGGCTGAAGCCGGATCTTCTCCAGCCAGATTTTTACAGCTTCTAGGTACTGGGAAGACACTTACCCAGCACCACTTGTATGGTCACAGATGTAAAACTGAGACCCATGCCATAAAGAGTAAGAAAGATGATCTTGATGGAGATATGCATGATTTGCTACCGCAGGCAATGGGGTATGTCTGTACGAGATATATTTTAAATCTACAATAGACAGATAGTATCTTGATATTATAGCTTAGACAGAATTCTACAAATTATTGAACTAGGAGGACAAGTTGCATGATTCTGTTACTACAGCCAATTTCAAGAAAAGTAATTTTAGCCTTGCTCTGGAGTGGATTTTTTTCACTTGGTCTAGCTCAGAAGTAGGCAACCTTGGCTCTTTTATGACTCGTGGACTTCAATTCCCAGAATTGCTGGCTCAGGAATTCTGGGAGTTGAAATCCACGAGTCATAAAAGAGCCAAGGTTGCCTACCCCTGGTCTAGCTAGTGCATTGACATATGCAATCAATTATCTCCCCCAGAGGTTTCATGAAGATGGTAAATACAAGAGAAAATTAAGCCTTGTAACACCCCAAAAGTAGAGGTCTAAAGATGGACCTCTCCTCCTCACATGCCAACTGGAACCATCCTTGGAGAAAAGAGAACTAGATCTCCTACTCCCAATAAGACCTCCTACTCCCAACATGTCAGCCAGTTGAGAAGGATGCCATAATTGATGGTACTGAAAACCAATGAGAGGTCAAATGGATACACCATACCCATTCCAAGCCCACCAGTGTGATCAATTGCATCTCAGTGCTATAAGTATCCTAGCCTGAAACCAAATTATAACAGGTCCAGATAATTTGCTTTGTCTACAGCCCTTTGAAATTGTAGACCTACCACCTTCTCAATAGTCTTTCCCAAAAAGGGAACATTAGATATTGAGAAAAAATTGTCCAGTAGTAACTTCTTGAGAAGGGGTAAACCACTGTCTCCTTCAGGGCACATGGAACCATCCCCTTTTACAAAAAAGCATTTACTACTGATTAGCTACATGTCACCTACCTAAATGTCACCTCTCAGGATGCCTTGACCAACCAGAAGGGACAGAACCTAACATGTAGGTAACAGAATCATCAACCTAAGGACTTACTTGGAAGTAATCAAATCAAATCAAACCTAGATAACTGGACAAGCCCAAGCCAAAGGTCATCTCCATAGGACCAGCACAGGCAGACGCTACCTCTGAGTAGATTTTAGGCACTTTAACAGATGTTTTACATAATCTTCATAGCACGCTTGCAAAGGTTCCTATGGCCCTTTCTTATCCTTATTAAAGCTTTTGATTTCACTGTTTCAGCATATATTGTTTACTTGTATTGTATAAACAACTGTGTAAAGAAATTATCAGCAAAGATCATGATTTTTTCAAATTAAAGGATAACAAGCAAGTAGCCAATGCTCATTCTTTCTCAAAGATGCAAATGAACTGCAAATTATGCTGATTACACAGCTGCAAGTGAACAACTGTAGAGCCTGTTCTTCTAGACTGCTAACATGTTGGGGAGGGCCCAGAATGGGATAAAAAAAAAAAAAAAAAAAGAGTAGCAAAAGAATCTGTGGTGAGTTTAGCCAATTATAGTGTTGTGGAGGAGAGGTAAACCTTAACAAATACTGAAAATGAAACACTGAACTTATTCTGTTTGTTTGTTTATAAAAGGATACAGAGAATCCACAGCTGCATTGTCTGTTCATTACTCTAGAAAAAGAATTTTCTTTTGCAGCCTTTAAATGGCAGTAAAGAGCAACTTTCCAGCCAATGTAAGGACTGAGAAACATACTGATAACAGCTCTCCAGAACAGAATAGATATAGATGTGAAAGGCAAGTACTCTTCAGTCCCACAGAAATAATTTGCTGCTCAATTTAAAAAAAAACCTAAAGAACAACATATGTTCATAAAAAGAAGAAAACAGTGAAGGAGGAAAATTTCATGAAAATGCAACATTACTAATAATTTTGTTTTCCTATTGGGGATGGAAAGTACTACTTTTACTTGGGAATTACTAAAGCAGTTCCAATATGTTCTGATTTCAGCAAAGCATTTATTAAAACAGGCCATAGTATTCTGATTAGCAAACTAGTTACATGTTGGCTGTATAGAAGGACAATTAAATGAATATACTGCTGGCATGAAAGCTCACACTGGGTGTTTGTTAATTGCTATTCATTAAGAAGAACCACAATGAAAGTTAAGTGGGATGCTATAAGACTCAGGCCTTGTCCGTGTATTCAACATCTATATTAGGGACTTAAATGAGGTGCTAAAGGAATGCTTGTCAAATGTGCAGATCACATAACATTGGCTAGGATAGCTATGGCATAGAAGACAAAACTACTGTATTTTCCGGTGTATAAGACGACTGGGCGCATAAAACGACCCCCAAATTTTGAGAAGATTTTCATGGTTTAGAAAGTCGTCTTATACGCCGGAAAATACGATAACAGTCAAAATAAACTTGAGAAATTAAGATACTGGCTGATGACAAAAGATTAAATTTTAAGAGAAAGAAGTGGAGAACAGAGATAGATGCACAGATTTAAAATTGGGGATATATGACCGGCAGCAGAGTTTGTAATAGAGGCCTTGGAGTACTAATTGAGTACAGACTAAATATGGAAAGTACAAATAGAATCCTTTGTGGATTTGGACATGTTCATGTAGAATCTGGACAGCCAGTTTTGGGGGGTGCTTTAAACTAGACTCCTAACAAAGTAACTAAAGTAATTTTAGGATTTTAGCAAAATCCCTATTAAATCATGTAAACTAAATATTATAATAACTTATTAAATATATATGTCTCCCAACTGTCTCTGGGCTGCAGAAGTAATCGCTACATTTCAAAATTTCTCATCCCACTATAACCAATGTATAACAAGCATGAGAAAATGAATCTTGAAAAGTCTTTTGCTTCTCCTCTTTAAAGAAAAGCTTTCTGGATTGATGAAGATGAACAGAGAAACTGCAGTTTCTCTGTATAAGCATTATATGTAAGTATGCTGATGATACTCAATTTTATCACTCTATTCCTGGTAATTCAAGTGATGCTACTGCCGCCCTCTCGCAGTGCCTAGAGCAGAGGTCCCCAACCTTTTGGGCACCAGGGATCGGTTACATGGAGAGAGGTTTTTCCATGGACCAGAGGGGGCATAGTTTTATGTGCTGCCTGCATCCTGTGGATTGGGCTTTCCTTGTTGTGCGGACTGGTTGCTGGCATGCCGCGCCAGGACCGGAGGTTGGGGACCCCTGGCCTAGAGGCTGTGTGGGCCTGGATGGGGGATGACAGTCTTCAGCTGAACCCTGGCAAGGCCGAATGGCTTTGGCTCTTCAGAGCTTCAAGATTTGGGACTTTAATTAAATTAATTATGGAAAGGGTTGCAGATGAACCTGATCCATAACTTAGGGGTTCTTCTGGACTCACAGCTCCTGCTCAAAGAGGAGGTGGCAGTCATGTCTAAAATACCAAAATATCAACATCTCTGAATAAATACATTTAACAATAATATGGCATAGTGCACTGCATAATCCTGATGATTATGATATTTGAAGGAAGCTATTTGCAAAGTGCTATAGGGTTTATTTAGTTTTAGCTACTTTAATAGGCTGGTTGTTTAAAAAGTTATTTGAGACACAGGAAACTTACTTGTGCCCATTCAAAGCAGCATGATGCAATGGAGAGTATCCAGTACTGTCAACACAGTTCACATTTGGTCCTCTCCAGATACTGTAAAGCAAAAGTAAATAAATAATTATTATACATTAAGACACAGTGTATGGTAAATAAACAGTATCAGACTGAGACAGATTTTCTGAGAATAACACTAAAAAAACATACTCTGTAATCACAAACTAAGACACAATATTAACTTGCTGCTATCTTAAACAAAAAAACAACAACAGGTGATCACAGAGATGGATTATCCCAATTATCTAATCAGTATTTTATTACTATTTCAATGGTTATTATTTATATCTGTGATAGCACTCTTCAGGCAATATTCAAGCGAATTGATCCACAAGTAGCACAAGCTGCAATGAAGCAATATATAAAACAAAAGAGAAAATAAGGGAAGCTAGATAATTTGTTTTTGTCTCTACTGTACATGTTTATTTAAATGAATCTTTCATCTTCATCTTTTCTCCAATCTGATAACACAACTAGTTACCAATGAAAATATTCATAGTCCTACTAAATGCATTTTTACAGTCAGATCAATGTATTTTGCTTAAGAAATGAAAAACAATTTCATCATAAAACCAAGTCATAATACAGAAGGGCTATTTTTAAAACACTAGAAGTCAAATTAACTACCAAACCGGACACATTGGTTTACATGTATTGTGTGAGAGTACAGAATTTAGCAATACTACTGGAAATGCTTAGATTAATCTCCATAATAGCAAATGGGTGTGAAATGCACTATATAGTCAAAATGTTGGTTATAATTCAAGCATAGTAATATTTGGAAATCTCATATTGCTTTTGCAAATGATTTCTTTTTAAAACAAGTGACACACAAACACAATAATATTATAATATTTCATGATACTGAGTTTTCAAATCAGACTTCCTCCCTGAGAAGGTTCATTGTAGATTTGTAATAAAAATCACAAAATATCTCTGTATAAAGGATAATACAAAGAAACATAAATTACTAATTCCTATACTGCAAATTCATGAAGGCAGATTCCTAGAGGCAAAAGAAGTGTTATGATATCTTAAAATTAATAATGCTGAAATACATTAATTCAAATTTTTGTGAAGTCCTGACAAATATTTTATCTTTTATGCTTTACTGCAGGGGTCCCCAACCCTCGGTCCATGGACTGGCACAGGGCTGCAACATGCCAGAAAGTGGGCCGCGCAAACAAGCAAAGCCCCATCTGCAGGATGCAGGCAGCATGTGAAATCAGGCCAAAACCTCTCTACATGGAACCAGTCCCTGGTGCCCAAAAGGTTGGGGGGGGGGGTCGGTGCTTTACTGGTTTTACTATATTTTTTGTTTGTTTGATTGATTGCTGTGAATCAATCAAATGATAATAATTTAATAATTTAATAAATTATTATTATTATAGCATTGAAATATTGCATATACAAAGGTAAAGATAACCTCAAAATGCCTACATACAAAAACAATTCAAACTAAATGAAGTCTTAATTGCTTTTATTAATGGCAGCATAAATCTATTAAAATGCTTCACCTTTTCTCTTCTGTTTTTAGAAGTACCGGTAGTGCTAATAAGTGCTATTAGTACTGAGTAATAATTCTCAAATATTACCATGCTTGAATTTAAAACTAACATGAGCACAGATTATTTGCAAGTGATTATATTGCTCATTTCACACTTATTTGTTTTCTCATTATTTTATAGCAAAATGAACACTTATGTAAACTGGAAAAGCATAATTTCCTGTAAAGGCATGATGAGTTTGTAATGAGATGATGTTTAGTATTCTTATGCCTTCCTTAGTCATCCATAGTAAAATAAATATCAAGTAGTGTCCACAACTGAGTTTACAAACTATAAGCTCCTTACAAGTTAACAATTCTAAACCACTAAGTCAGGGGTGTCAAACTCGCAACGTCACATGATGTGTTGTGACGTATCGCAACTTTTTTGCCATTGCCGGCAATGGGGTAGGCGCAGTTTCGCTATGATGCACCCGGCCCGTGGGCCGGCAGTTTGACACCCCTGCACTAAGGAAATAACTCATAGTGCCTAAGTATAAGATAATTTTTAAAATGAAGAACAGAATCAAGGACCTCTTTAAAAAGCAATTTCTCTTGACTCCAAGGGTATTAAGGAAATACAGTTTATTCTATAGTAGCATGACAATTTTAAGGAGAAATGACATTATAAGTACCTTAAGCTCTGAATTACAAAGTTAATTCAAACAAATTCTCATCAGCTGAATGAAGACTTAATCAGGTTTCACTGCCAATTACACTGCGACACATTATGGCACAAATAGTACTTAATATTCTAGTCTTGTTTGGTATGTGTAATGTTCTAATATTAGCATTTCAATTTTTATAGGAGAAAACAAGCATTTCTGAATTCAAGATGTTTTTAGCAGCATACAACAATGACACCAACATGTTAAAAATGAAATAATTAGCTCCTGGCTGAGCCACAGTATGAGATTTTTCCAAATAAATGGAGGTTAGTTTAATTATTTTTTGTTTTATATTCTTATCTGAAAGATGCAAAAATATATTTAATAATAATTTGGTATTTAATAAGGAAGTGAGGGAAGAAAAAACAAGGGAGAAGGATTAAATTAAATTAATAATTTATACGAAAACAATATGACTGGTAAAAATAGTTCATAGTTGCAATTTATTGTTTGTATAAGCTTATATTGTTTAAGAAACAAAAGTCATCTTAGGAATGAAGATTTCATTTCTGTGATACAATTCTGTAACATCTGTTGGATGATACTTACAGATGGATACATATATTATTCCTCAAAAAGCCTTCAAAAGAGTTATAACAGTAGCATATATCTATGAATGTATCTTTACTTCAAAGAAGTACACTTTCAATAATATGGAATTGTGCAACGAATGCTTTTCATCTTTCAAGGAACCAACTATTTTTTAATTAAGATTTTATGAAATTTGAGCAGTGGTGGGATTCAGATATGTGAACAACCGGTTTTCTGTGTGGATGCCGCTTCTGGAAGTCCATTCTGGGCCTGGGCAACAAAAAATTAGCTACTGGTTCTGATGAAGTGGTGTGAACTGGCTGAATCCCACCACTGGATTTGAGGCATTTTCCATATTACTCTACATTGGATTTGCCAGGAAACCATTCAGGCACTGAAAAGATCAAGAGGCTTTTTTTTGGGGGGGGGGGAGAAGTTGGTTATTATTTGAATCTTAATTCTGCCAATTTGGTTTGATGGGTTTGTGTTTTGTTTGCTAATCTGCTCACTAGCACAAGGACCTGCTGCAGCTTCTCATAACTCTTGAGCTAACTGTCCTCTTTTAGGACAGTTAACCATTTCTGAACTGATGCTTTTTAGGAAATGAGCCTAAGAAACTGAGGTGAATAGGTGCAAGATAATCCTTGACTTATGACTGTAATTAAGTTAGGCAAGTATGGACATACATTGACAGTCATAAAGCAAGTCATCCATGTAACCAACCTGATGTTTTGTGATGGAGATCAAGTGAACACTGCAGTTGTTAAGCAACAGCCACAAATGCTGCCCAGTTGCCAAGCATCCAAAATGCAGACATGTGACTGCGGGGGGGGGGGAAACTGTTAGAATTTTGGAACCAGATCATGAGTACCTTTTGGGGGACGAACTCTGTCGTAACTCTGAACTGTTAACCAACTGGTTATAAGTCAAAGACAACTTACAATGAGTTTGTCAACCTCACCACCAACAAAAAAAAAAATACTTGAGATAATATCATTTTGAGCAGACATGTCAAAAACAAGGCCCGGGGGCCGGATGCAGCCCGCGAAGTGGTTTCATGTGGCCCACGAAGCCATCCTGGAAACAGTGAGGCCGGCCGGGAGCCAATGTACAATTTTGCGGTGGCCATCTATGCTGAAGCGCATTCAGTCTTAGCTCCACAAGGTCGTCTAGAAACAGCATGGAACCAGCCCCTGCCGTGTCGGCCCCGCCTCCTGGGTGCATGCTGGGGAGGTGTCACCCTTTGTGAGGAATGAAGAAATGGACCATGCTTGGCGCTTGCCCCGGTCCCACCCCCTTCTGCCAGAGACCCTCAGATCTGTCCCACTCTTGCCCAGGCCCCCACAGGCATCCTTGACGCAAACGATGTAGAGCTGGCCATGCCCACCCAGTAAGCCACACCCACTCCATCCATGCCCATCCAGTAGGCTACACCCACCCTGGCCACACCCACCCGGCCCCTCAAGGGCAACTGCAATGCTGAAGCAGCCCTCAATGAAATTGAGTTTGACACCCCTGATTTTGAGAGTTCTTAAAACATTTCAAATGTAAAATGGGCTGCCAAAATATGTAAGAGTTCCTTAACCTTGACCTCTATACTTGAGGACTGAGAACTTGTCCTGCTTCATTATCACCTTCATACTGTACAAGTAACAACAAGATAGCATTTACATATTAGGGTTGATGCAGAACAGATCAGAGCTAGAAAACACACCTTGTCTTTCAGAACTCTGCTTAAAACTCAACTGCAGGGACCCAAAGAAAGAGTTCAGGGTAATTAGAGTATAGGGTTTTTTTTTTTCTAAAATGAAATTTTTTTTTCTAGAAATTCTAAAGCCAGGAGAAATGTTTTTCTCATTCTTCTACTCAAACAGAAAATTGGGGAAAATGGGGATAGAATCTTTGACATATTTCCTTATGTATTGTAGGAGAGAACCATGTTAGGCTATGAGGTCAGCTCATGAAAGCTTAAGCCTTTACATAAAATGTGCTATAGTAGATGGAAAAGATGCAACTCTGATTTATTTATTGCCCTATCTAAAATCAGCTTGCTATTTCAGCTATAAAATTGCAGTATACAGAACAGTTATAAAATCAGCAAAATGTGGTGAATTCAGGATAACAATTTTGGATAATGTGCCTGTGCTACAGTATCAAATGTTGATCATCAGTTATAACCATAAGATGTAGAAATATATTTGTCTTTCAAAAAAGTAGCATATAATGCTTTTTTTCCAGCTCATTTGTGTTGTTCTGTTCTCTTGCAAATTTCAACGCTAAAGTCACAAAACCAG